TGAGAAAGAAGGATGTGGGAGCTGAACAAGTGACTTCTTAAATATATAGAAAATCAGTGTTTCTTAACCCTGAAGAATTAAGAAACTGACCCAAGAGGGACAGAAGGAGAGCAAATAATGTGGTGAGGTTTCTGTAGATGGGGGCTTTCTTTGCAACTAATGAGGTGAGTCAACACAAAAACACAAATCTAGAGGATTCCTGCAAGAAACCCACTATAGCAGTAATGAACCAATTTCTCTGGTGGCAATCAGAGAAAAGTGGGGGAAAGGCACTCTATAGTAGTTTTTATTTTTTATTGTGCCAAAGTTGAATACTGTTCAAAGGCAAGGAAAGAGAGGATACAGAGGATGAGTTCCTGATCTATGTAAAACACTAGGTTCGGTACTTGCAAGCACTCATCTGATTTTCAAAGGGAGTCCCTGTGCCCCTAAGAAATTGATGAGAGGAATATCTAAGACAGTATACCAGAACAGTAGATATTTTCTAAGTATCAGATACAATTATTATCGACATCACTATTTTAATTTGATCTAGCTCATAGAAGCTTCTCTATTTTCAAATGGTGAGCCAATGATTGGAATATTGGAGGTTAGGTGGGGACTGCAGAAAAACTTTTAATTCCACAGACCAATGGGTTGAAAACTGATACCCCAAGAGGGACAGGGACTTATCTAAACTCACATGGCTAGGAGAGAAGGACTAAGACAGAAATATTCACTTACTCCATAGGAGGAAAAAGCCTAGAAGTCACCTTCAGTGCTCACCCCACTCCACCCCCTACACCCCGCCTACAAGGAAACCACACAAGCGGATTTGCCTAGATCAATAACAGCAGCAAGTAGACTGTGGAGGACATGAAAATGAAAAGCATAACACTCCCTCCTGACCCCACCCTCCTGTCTTCAGTCCATCCTGCCTTTAGGTAGCTTGCTCTGTAGGTGTACACAAACTTCTTGCCTATGAGTTTTTGGGGGAAGTTCATGTTGACAGTTTAAGAGACATTCTAAATATCACATAACCCTGGAAAGCAAGCCTCCAACGTACATAGATCAGATCCTATGTCAGGCTGATCAGTACATAGGTGAAGGACATAAAGACCTAGTGAAACAGAAGTAGGGGGCAGTCATTGTTGTAGGATAAGGTTTGGTGACCACTTCAAGGATGATGAGATTGTACAGTGTATCTGAGGATGACTTCAATCTACCTTGCAGTGCAAGGTGGGGAGAAAGAATAGTGCATGCAAAGGACAGAGGTCTACCTAAACTTCAGGAGATGAACAGAAGTCAGATACAGTCTTTCTTGTGTGTCTCTCCTTCCAGTCCCCCCTAACCCCTGTGCCTTGCTGAAGTTGAAAATTAAATTGTGAGCTATTGAGGATCATTCTACACTAAATTTAGGTTTAGTGGTGTGAGACTTTACTGGCCAAGTGAGGGGGACTGGACCTTCTCCAGAGGGTAATGGCCAGGTTGGGGTAGTGGGGTGGGGTGTATTACTGGAGTCATCTGCATACAATGACAACAGCAGAGAGATTGGATTGGGACTGGAGAGAAGCTTGAGACAAAAAACCAAACTCTAATGCCCAAAGCCTTGCATCTCAGTTGGTAGACTCAGCTTACAAAATCATTTCTTCCTATATCCATTCCTCCTTCCCAATTGGGTACCATTGTAAGAGCTGTATCTCACATACACAGGAATCACTCTAATTATTCAGACACTAGCTGTTAACTTAGAAACAAATAGAAAAACTTGTGGGCAGTCACCTCACATTCCCAAAGTCAGACTAAACAGAGTATAAGCTTCATTCTTACAGAAAGATGCAAGCCACCACCTGAGATTGATCATATTTGCTAAAAAGCTGATATCAGAGTAAGTCAATAGTTGGCACTTACTAGTAGCTTTAGCCCTCAGTTTGCTCATGCATAAAATGAAACAGTACCTGGGGATACTTCAGACTGTGGTTGGGAACATAAAATTAGTCCACTGCTCAATAGTTAATCCATTGTTCAACAACATGAAATTGCAGTTAAAGGGAAAGGGGAAAAACTGAAATAGAAAGGACAGATAATGTATATCTTCATAATGCAAAGAAAGAATGACAGGTATAGAAGTTGATATTTAAAAATTATTGAGTCTTAAATTTTGACAAACTGGCAGGCTACCGAATGTAGCCTGCCCACACGGCAGAGTCTGGCAAACTCCCCGTGGCGTACCCAATATGCCAAATACCAGTAACAATGATGGGTCTTATTCTCCTAAAGAGCCTTGAATATAATCTCAGGGCTAGGATGAAGGAGACGTTACTGGGGCCTGCTCGAGGCAATCGACGAATAATAGGATGATCTGTGATCTGATCTGTGAGTCTTAAATAGTGTGCTATATTTCTAAAGTCAAGCAACCCATTTTATAAAGATTTCTTTAAAAACTAAATACAATAAAACTTTTGTTACTATAAAAACAGAGTTATTGGAAATCTGCAATGAAAATTCACTTATTTGAATAATATATCCTGTGTGTACTGTACATCTAAAGAATTCCTCCCCCCTTCATCACTTTTTGCATTTTCTTTTCTTTTTTTCTTTTTTTTGCCACACTCAGCTGTACTCAGGGCTTACTCCTGGCTATGCACTCAGGGTTCACTCCTAGTGGGCTTGGAGTACCATATGGGGTGTGAGGGATTGAACCCAGGTCAGCTACATGCAAAACAAGCATTCTACCAACTGTACTATCACTCTAGTCCCTCTCCCTAATTTTTAAAGACCATAAAGTAAGTAAAGTAAAGTAAAGGCCCATAACATTACATTTTAAGAGGATCTTAGGTGCCATCAATTGTAAGACACACCATCATTTTGTATCCCAATAAGAAATAAATGCTGCTACTATAATGGTTAGATGCTATAAACTGTAAGATGCATCTTGATTTTTAGAATTGCTGAAATGTGAAAATATGTACATCTTCAACTTGATGGAATCTTCAAATACACAATCCATGGCAGCAATGAAAAATCCCATTTTCCCTTTGAACAGAAGTCACATACAGTCTTTCCTGTCTCTCCTTCCCCTGTGCCTTGCTGAAGTTGAAAATTAAATTGTGAGCTATCGACGATCATTCTACCTTGCCTTTTCAAAAGTTTTCTTTCTTAAAAATCTAATGCAGGATCCAGAGAAATATCATAGCTTGTCTTGCAGGTGGACAACCTGGGTTCAATCCCCAGCATCCCATATGGTCCTGAGTCTACCAGGAGTGATCCCAAGCACAACCAGATATGACTAAAAAAAAAAAAAAGGAACTCTGATTCAGAATTTAGCCACAGATCAGCCAAACAAGTCTTCAGCTGCCTGGGGTATGCTTCCTGAACAAAGGCCATGTCTGTCCAGATTGAGTGCTCAGATGAACCCAAGCAGGAGTTTCCAACTCTACACAGCATTATCAAAAAGGACCTACTAGCAGACCTGTGATCAATTACTAACCTAGAATTGCAGAGTCACCTTCAACAACCAGCCTCTTCCACTGCCTTCACTGTAGAGTCTCCACCTTATTTCCCTTCCATTAACTACAAACAGTTGATTCTATTTCCACTAGAGAATTCGCAAAGAAAAATTTAAAAGTTCTATGGAAAGGAGGAGGGTAAGGCAGAGGAGCCAAATGTAAGTTGCTTCCATTGTAGCTTGAGGAAAGAACAGAATGACTCCTTACCCACCTACGCTGGAGAGGGTGGGAGGTAGTGCTTAAGAACCCCAAGAAGACACAGCACCCAAAGACCCTGAACTTTTTCCATTCTCATATTCCTAGTTATGCTTCAAAAGATTGGGGAAGATCGTCTAGCCCAGAAAATGAGAGCATGGTCTTGAAGCGGTTTCCTTTGTCTTCCAGACACTTGGTTGACCATGTTCTTGCTGAGGAAACAGTGAAGTCCTGGACACTCACTCTCTGGTCTGCAAATACCCAGGGAACAGCTTCCTCACTGCAATTTTCTCCTTAAACGTTCATGTAAGGTTACAATTCTATCCCATTTTACATATGAGAAATAGGCTAAGAGAGCAGCAGTTCAGGCGATGCAGGTGCGTCAGGCTGGGTTCACGCCTCCAACCTACATCACTCAGGGTTTCTAGGCGACAGTTTCAAGATCACCACTTACAAAACAACATCAAATTCTAGAAAAGTGCAGATCCCTACTTCTGGAAAGTCCTGTGGCAGAGCCGAGACCTAGAGATGTGCTGTAACGAGCTCAGTGTGGTCACAGGCCATAAAGCAGAAAGTGAATGGGAAGTGATGGGGACATGTCAGAGAGGAAGAGGATAACCCAGAAGCGGCCTTGAAGGCAAGGCCTGGCCTACTTTTAGACCTCCTTTTTGCTGAAACCCACTCCTCCTCTGTGCCCAGAGGCTTGTCACTCACTTGATACCACATCCTGCTGCTTTCATCTCGCCTTCCTTTTCCCTCAGAACAACCTTCCTCCTATTGACCCCAACATCTTGCTTATTTGCCCCATACCTGGGATGGGCCAGACACAGGAGCACACACGCAGGACACACCGACACTTAATATTCAGGGAATCCTCTGATACCACAAAGGGACAATCCCGTCTGCAGGCTTCGGGCTTTCTTAGACCAACCAAGAAGGCACGTCCAGGACTCCCAGGTCTTGATGGCAAAGGACTCCTGATGCCAACACCCACCAGCAGAATTTCATAGTGAAGGGCAGTAGACTCCATGATCTTATGACCAGCCTCTGAAGGAGGCAAGGAAGGTGCGACCACACTGAGGTCTCATACACTGGTCACTCCCATAGTGAGAGACCACCCCTGGGTCATCCCTCCTGTCTCAGAATTGCTGGAAGGGTGTTGGCTGCCCTGTGCCTCGGCACTCTGCATGAAGAAGGACAATGGGACCTGCCCAGCCTACCGGCGACGACCTTAAAAGCCAAATTCTCCCCGAAGGTCCCCAGCCTCCAGCCCCACGCATGCCCTGGATGCCCCGTCCTCGCCGCCCCACTAAACACCTGCGGTCCCTGCCGGGCGCCGAGCCCCTCTCCAGCGGCGTCTCTGCGATCCGGGTGACAGTCGGGACCACAGCTCCGGGGCTGGAATCACGCGGCGAGTCCCAGCATCTATTTGCAGAGGCCGCTCAGGGTCTGGGGGGAGGGTGGGGGGCCCTAGGGCTCTGGGCGGGGCTCTGCGGGCGCGGGCGGGGCCGGCCCGAGGCGGCCTCCTGCGCCACCTGGCGGCCGGTCGCGGTGCTTCAGAGCCCACCGAGGGGACCGGGATGCCGCAGCTCGGAAGCCGGCGTCTAGTCGCCTGTCCCGGGAGAAGGGTGGGGCCCTGCTCCGAGAGCCGGCAGGGCAGGGGCGGGGCGGACCGGGGGACCTTGGGGCCGGTGGCTTCGGGGAAGGGCTCGAAAGGGGAACCTCGGACTCGCAACTTCCTTCTCTCGGTGCGATTCAGCTCCCCACTTCCTCCTCCTACTTCTAGTTTTGTTTTTTTTTGGGGGGGGGCGAGCTTAGCTTAAAAAAAATTAGTCACTGTGAGTTATAAAAAGTCATTCATGCTTGGGTTGTAGGCACATTGTGTTCCGGCACCGATCCCTTCTCCAGGGTGCACAGCCCTCCCCCGAAGTCTCCAGTTCCCTCCCCCGCCCCCCCGCCTTGTCTGCCTCGACGACAGGCGCGCTGTTATGCAGACGGACACCTCTGTCCAATGTGAGTGTTCAATGCAGGCTCCTCCTGCACCGGTCAGACTTTCTTACCTGCCCCCACCCCTGCCCCAGGGCCAGCATGTACTCTTTAGCCATTTCCCAGCCCCAAAGAGTTGGGGTGCAGCTGGTTCTCCAGAACCAAGGCTTTTTGCCACCCCACACCCTCCTCTTCCGTGCCCTTTCTCACAAACGTGGCAAGAGTTGTTATGCAACGTTCAAAAAAATAAAAACAAAACAACCCTCAAACCCTTATCTAGAAACAGCGGAAATTACCGCAATTCCTAGAGACTTGATTTCTTCGTCAATAAAATGGGTATAAAGTGGGCTACAGCAGTCTTTGCCATGAAAGAGAAGTACTATTTGGGGCTTAACAAAAAGGCAAGACTGAATTTTCACCTTTCATTATTGAATGTTACTCGGTGTCACAATTTCTTTAAAAGCGTTCAGAGTTGGGTGTACATTATTAGTTAAAAGCCACAGCCCTACCTAAGGTTTGAGAGCTGTGAATACTGATGGCTTTTATTTTCCCGACTCAAATAAAAAAAAAAGATAAAAAAAAAAAAGAAAAGAAAAGCTACCAAGAAAAAGTAACTTCCCAAAAGACAGAAACAGAAAGTATCTTTCAGTTGAAACAGAGGACTGGTCCCAACCTATAAATAGAGAAAAAAAGAGCTCAGAATGTATGTAATACAAGTACTTCTCTGAAACCTCATTCACTACCTACAGTTAATGAATCAGAGTCAAGAATTGTCAAGAACATACTACAACTTGATAAAGGTGTGCAAGGACACTAGTCTTCCTAGTTTCTACTTTTTCCACGGGAGTGGGAGGAGGGGAGAGAAGAGAGAGATATGCCAGTGGTGGCCAGAAAGTGGTGGCACCTTTCTGGATTTGGGCATTGCATAACAAGAATAACGCGGTTTGTGCCAGATTGACATGTTAGTTTAGAGAAGCACTTGGAAAAGTAAAGGAAAAGTATTGGAGATGCTTTGGCATCCTTGGCTTTTGTGGCATTCCTTTAAAAATGAAGATAAAGCGGAGAATCCCTTAGTGAACCCACTATTACAGAGCTGAACATCCAGTAACCCAAATAACTTCCCCTGTGCCTCCCCAGGTAGGAATTCTTTCTCCATCAGTAGGTGTGACCCAGATGTTGAATTAGCATTTTATTCATCTCTTCTCCCCTCCACTTGTGTGTCCTGCCCAAGGAGGATTGATCACCAACCAAAAAATCTGATTAGCACTGTTCTCTTCCACCTTTTTCTTCCACTCAGCAAAGCAGATTCCTCAAGTGGCACCTAGTTACATTTTGTCCATATCTGTTGTTCCTATATCACTGTCACAGTCCTCCCATTGTTCATGGATTTGCGGGCCCAGTAACATTGTGAGACTTGTTACTGTGTTTGGCATATTGAATACATCAGGGGTAGCTTGCCAGGCTTTGCCTTGGGGGCGAGATACTCTCAGTAGCTTGCTGGGCTCTCTGAGAGGGGCGGAGGAATCGAACTCTGGTCGGCCATGCTGGCGGCTTGCAAGGCAAACGCCCTACCCACTGTGCTATCGCTCCAGCCCATTGTTTTTGCTATATATTTTTTAAATATACACAGTAACAACAAAGTCTCCAATGGAGACGTTACTGGGCCCGCTCGAGCAAAATACTTTAAATATTTAAATATATTTAAATATTTAAATACATTTGTGACATTGTGCTCATGAAATGAGCAAGAAAAATCTCTTCAACAAACCAGAAGAACATGAACTTCAGAAAGGAATTGGATCTATATCTTACACCATTCCCAAAAGTTAATTTAAAGTATATTAAAGACCTGGTGATAAGATCAGAGTACCTAAAAAATACTGAGGATAACATTAAGAACTATCCAGAATATGGGCCTCAGTGGTGTCTTCACATAGAATGATCAGAATCATTTGTGGGATATAAAAGAACATAGTATGAGACTAAGACCCAAGGACAGTGGAAACAAGGGCCAGGAGGAATGGTCCATTGTTGGAAGCTTGCCATAAGAGGTGGTAAGGGGCGGGCAGTTATAATAGAGAAGGGACCACGATGCCAAAGATAGTCGGAAATGATCGTTCTGGATAAGAACTGCGTGCCAAAAGTAGGTAAAACGATGACAAAAGTGATAATCTTTCAGTATTGCAAACAATCATGCCCCAAAGGGAGGAGAGAGTGAGAGTTAGAGAGAGAGAGAGAGAAAGTAGAGAGAGAGAGAGAGAGAAAGGAGAGAGAGAGAGAGAGAGAGAGAGAGAGAGAGAGAGAGAGAGAGAGAGAGAAGAAAAGTGCCTATGTGGGGAGCGTGGCTGGAGAGAAACTGGGGACATTGGTGGTGGGAAATGTACATTGGTGAAGGGATGGGTGATGGAACATTGTATGACTAAAATTCAACCATGAACAATTTTTTTCAGAGGACTCTCTCATGGTGATTCAATTTAAAAAAGATGTCTTCAATTATTTGTCTTTAGGGGCAAAAATAAAAAATGAAAAATGGGACTATATCAAATTAAGAATGTTTGCGTAACAAAGAAACTTGGGATAAAATGAAAAGATCCCTCTACTGAAAGGGAGAAAATATTTGCTCACAGCACACAAGATAAAAGGGCTAATATTCAGGATATATGAAGTACTCACAAAGCTTGATAACAACAACAAATAAGCTCCTGAAAAAATGAGAAGAGATGAATAGATATTCCCATAAAGAGACCATAAGAATAGCCAAAAGGGATATGAAAAAGTGTTCATCATCATTTATCAGGGAACTACAAATCAAACTAACAATGGTGCATCATCTCACCCCAGTGAGAAATACATATGTGTGCATATAGTTTTGAAATAAATATGTTTAAAAATGCAAAAAACAAACTGGAAACAGCCAACGTTGGTGGGAATGTGGAGAAAAGGGAATCTTCATTCACGGAGAAAAGGGAATCTTCATTCAGTGTATGTGGCAATATCATCTGGTTCAGCCTCTGTGGAAAGTAGTATGCCCCCAGAAAGAAAAGAATTCCATTTAATCCAGTCATTCCATGTCTTGTCATCTATCCCAAAAACACAAAAAGATATATGTACACCTATGTTCATTGTGGCACTAAGCATAATAGCTATAATACAAAAACAACCTAAATGTCTAACAACACATGAATGGATAAAAAAAAACTGTGGTTTTTAGACATTATATATATATATATATATATATGAGGAAAGATAAATTTATGCACTTAGCTGTAATATAGATGGAACTGGAGGTTGTCATTTTTTTTGTTTTATAAGTTTATTTTTTCATAAAGTTATTCATGGACTGGAGTGATAGCACAGCGGTGGGGCATTTGCCTTGCACGCTGCTCACATGACTGACCCGAGTTTGATTCCTCCACCCCTCTCGGAGAGCCCGGCAAGCTATCGAGAGTATCTCGCTCACAGGGCAGAGCCTGGCAAACTCCCCGTGACGTATTCGATATGCCAAACACAGTAACAAGTCTCACAATGGAGACGTTACTGGGCCCACTTGAGCAAATCGATGAGCAATGGGAGGACAGTCCTAAAGTTAAGTAAAGTAAGTAAGTAAAGGCCCTCCCGTTGATCATCGATTTGCTCGAGCGGGCCCAGTAACATCTCCATTGGAGACTTTGTTGTTACTGTGTCTGGCATATCGAATACTCTCGGTAGCTTGCCGGGCTCTCCGAGAGGGGCAGAGGAATCGAACTAGGGTCGGTCATGTTGGCCACTTGTAAGGCGAACGCCCTACCGTTGTGCTATCGCTCCAGTCCTAAAGTTATTCATAATAAATTGATTACATTCAATATTTCAACACCAATCCCACCACCATTACACCTTCCCACCACCGTTAGTTTGAATTTTCCCACCACCACTCAATCCTGCCCCACAGGGAGATGCTAGATAATTTATTTTGTATTGCTTATTATGAATAACATGAGATATTGTGCAGCCGGAACACATGAAGGTACTGGCAGAGGGACAAAGCCACGTGGGTTCCAGGGCCGAGACCTCCAAGCCTACTCGAATTGGAGTCGAGCATCTTCCACCCAGATCCTCCAAATTCCAGTAGGCGGGGGTCACACCCACCACCTGGCCCCCTGGCGCCGTGTAATCCCATCAGCGGCCAAGACTCAGAGACTATAAAATCCAGATCCCGGACGAGAACAGTGCAGTCTTCTGCCCCGCGCCTGGGTGTTCCTTCCCGGAGCCCCTTGGAGGGGAGCGGGTTGAGCTTTCCTCCCCGCCCCGACCAGGGCTCCGGCAGCCGAAGACCTCCAGGACCAGCCACCACCATGCTGAGACCACTCTCCGCACACATGAAGGTACTGGCCAGGGGGCCAGGTGGTGGGTGTGACCCCCGCCTACTGGAATTTGGAGGA